TTGAAGTACCCTCATAATATGTATATCACATCAAAATGCCTCTAGTACTTGAAATGCCAGGGTTGAAAAGAGGAAACGGTGATAATCATATCCAATTTAGTTGGTTTTGTTTTGTTTTGTTTTGCTGGGGGAAGAGGAGATAATCTGCTCTTGAGGAAGTGTTTACAAATAGCAGCCTGAAACCTCCTCACTTAGATCTTCATTTGGAAACAAACATCAAACATTATAAAACATAAACAAGTTGATTTATTAATAGAGTAGAATTCAAGCTTCCCAAAACACCAGGTCAGGAAAGCAACCCTCTTCCTTCACAGTTCCAGTACAGGGATCTGAATCCTCAACCTTGGTTATAACACTGCTCTCTAACTAACTGAGCTAGCCAGCCAGCCCCTCCCTCACATTATTTGATACATAAATTAAAAACTAAGTTTTAATCGACGTATTCAGTCCCCAAAGTATATGTCATTTAGAATCTGCGGACAAATTATGCTTTTTATTACACAGTTAAAATAAACACTGCATTTGACTTATTAACTGGTAATTCAGTTTGTCTTCATATACTAGTAGTACAAAAGTATTAAACTTTATAATACAGTTTAATAACATACTAAACATACAAAAGAAAATACTTTTTACTTCAAATTATTTCTCTCATATATCATGCAAATATTTACCCAAATGATCAAGAAAAAAAAAATTCCTTTAAGGATTCACAAAATTATATATTTCTGTGAAAAAAGTTTAGGAGTCCCCCCCTACACACACACAAATTCATACTGTCTTAACAGGGTAAACTGCTGGAGATAGAATTACTACATCAAAGAGTACTGAAAATCTAAACAGACACTGACCTGAAAAAATATAGTCCTATGAGAAATGAGTGCAAATTTTCCAAGACTGAAGTTAAGAGTAGGAAAGGATCGCCTACTGCTCAAACTCTTGTGAGGGCTGATTCGTCAGGCCTACTATAACCTGGCCTTCAAGGCCTCACTACTCACAAGGAGGCCACAATAAGTCAAAGCCAGTCAAGATTTGTGATAAATAAGAAAACAGAACCTTTTTATGTTTGCTGACTTAGAAAATTTGATTTTGGATCTACTGTACTGCTGGCCCCATAGGATCTCCTCAGGGGAGGACCTTCCAAGGAATCCTTACCAGGCAAGTTCTAAAATAGTAATTCTTAAACTAGAATGTGCATCAATATTTCAACATACCCGGAAAGCTACTGAGAGTGCAGAATCCAGGGGCATATCACAGAGATTCTGACTCATTATGTCAGAAGTAGGGCCCAGGAATTTGTATTTTTAACAAGCAGCTTCAGTGATTTTGATGATGGTGGGCCCTAATTCATAGGTAGAAAAACCAAGATGAAGACTTCTCTTCCATGCACTACAAAGGCTGATTACTAAAGCCTAGACACCTCTGTGTGTATTCTTTACTAATTACTCTGTAATAGAAAGAGACTATCATAATGAAAAAGACAAATCTTTGAAACGAAGCCTCCAACTCAAGGGTTGGGTCCCTTCCCCAACTAACTAATAATATTTCTAATTATATCACTATTTTATTTTAAATTAAAAGCACTGTATGATTTGATATATACTTCACTTAATTCTCAGGTAAAGAATAGTATTACTTGGGGCCGGCCTGGTGGCGCACTGCTACAGTGCGCCGCTTGGGAGCGCGGCAGCGCTCCCGCTGAGGGTTCGGATCCCACATACAGACCGGCCGCTCACTGGCTGAGC